GTGCGTGTGCGTGTACTAAAGTGGAGGATCTTTCTGTCTTTCTCTCTCTTCTTTTATAATCAGTATTTTTTTAATGTTTTGTCTCAATAAAGTTTTTCTCTGATTTGAATTCAGTGATGCTGAAGTTTAATTCAGAGGTGATGTTCTATCAGCAGCCACACAGTGGCACTGTTCTCATCCTCACGTTTATGTGTCATGGCCAAAAGTTTATGGACACTGAATATTCCAGTTATGTGATTGTTGGACATCTTAGTCCAAATGCATTGCATTAATTTGCTGCTAGAACAGCCTCCACTCTTCTGGTTCCAGTATTTCCACCAGATGTTGAACCTGCTGCAGGGGTTTACTTCCATTCAGCCACAAGAGTATCAGTGAGGTCCAATACAGATGTTGGGTGGAAGCTCTGGCTTACAGTGGGTGTTCCAGTTCATTCCAAAGGTGTTGGGCTTGCGGTCAGGGCTCTGTTGCCCCTTTTACACCGAGGCAGTTTGAGGGCTGGTTCGTAGCTGGTGCCTAATCTCAAACCAGTTCTTTGCATTTTGACAGGCAAAGAACCGCCTCTTGGCCAGACACTTTACAACAGGGGCTTGGACCAACTTGTGGTTAGCTAGCTATATGAACATAGCACATAGATGTTACAATGTAACATTAAGCTAGCTGGCTAGCTAGCTGTTACTCAGCTAACATTACCCAACACAAGCATAGCTGCTCATTTCTCACAATGTTTTCTTTGAAACATTGTTTATAACTTTAATGTTAACTTGAGTGTATGCTTGCTTGGGTAATGTTATTTGACCAACAGCTAGCTAGTTAGCTAGCCAGCTAGCATAACCTTGGTAACATTAGCTAACAGAGACGTATACAGTGACATAAAAACGTGGCTCTATGGTGGCTCTCTAGCCCATGGAAAAGCAAACCGGTTGTTTGAAGGTTCTCCAGGTGAACTAACTGATCAGGAACTAGCACCAGCACAGACCTAGTCCCATTTTTGTGTTGGTTGAAAGGGGGTATGTGTAGGTGTCAAGTCCTTCCACACCAAACTGAGGAAACCATTTCTTTACAGAGCTGGCTTCAGGGATATTGGGTGGGCACTCCCATGTTGAAATAGGAAAGGGAAAAACTTGAAAACACTATTGTCTGAAGCATGGGTCGGCAAACCTTTACTATTTAATAGCTGTTAAAAATTTGTGGAGCCAAAAAATTATTTTAGACGTATGATGAAGACATAATATAAGTTTAAATTAGCAACTTTGAAAAAAATTGCTACTCTGCAGTGGGTTATTCACAATTATTTGGTTTAACTTTGCATTTCCATAACAGTCATACCATGTTTTGAAATTGTACCACTAATCAAGAAAATGTTTTGCATTTTTTTCTGGTTATATTTTATTGGGAGATGTTAATACCAATTGCCAGTACTTTAGGCGTACAGCAATGATGAAAATGTTTAAAAACATTTACAAAAAAAGTTATTCATTTCCATATGATTTTTTGTCAAAGCCACAGGGAGAAGGGGCTAAATAGCTTCATGTGGCTCCAGAGTCACAGGTTGCAGTGCACTGTTTTTAATTATTGTATGCTGTAGCAAGATTTCTCTTAATTGAATCACACGGGCCAAAACCAGGAAAAATTCACTCAGACCAAAAGTACACAGTAACTGGGGTGTCCATATACACTGCCCTCCAAAAGTATTGGAACAGTGAGGCCAATTCTTTTATTTTTGCTGTAGACTGAAAAGATTTGGGTTTGACATCAAAAGATGAACATGAGACAAGAGGTCAACATTTCAGCTTTTATTTCCAGGTATTTACATCTGGATCTGATACACAACTTAGAAGATACCGGGAAAGAGGCTGCGGTGAAGGCCTGGAAAAGGCATCACAAAAGAAGAGTTTGATGTCCAGTGGGTCACAGGGCTGATGCAGTTTATTGCAAAGCAAAGGATTTGCCAACTAAATAATTAAGTGCTTATTTCACTTTTAAGTCTTTTTTAAGTTTATCTTGTTTCCAATACTTTTGCTCCACCTAAAAAAAAATGGGTGTGTTCCGTAACAAATAATGA